ATCATCATCATCATCATCATCATCATCATCATTAAGATCGTTTTTCTAACTGTTGGTTTGAACTTGTACACTGCCCAGAGCTGCTGCTGTGAGATGGGTGGCTGGATAAATTGTATGTATAAGTCAATCAATCAGTATCATTTTGGTTAGGAAAAAAAGTTATAAAAATTCTGCATCTTGTGGTGAGGATCTAGTACAAAAAAAGTGCAATTCCCACCAGTTGGCATAGAGCTTCTTTTTCCTGCAGTGAAAAAGTATCAGAGTATTCTTTTATTTTCTTTACAGCCTCTGTTTCCACACTTGCTGGATTATGAAGCTGCAGCTCTTGAAGCAGATCACCTTGTGATCCTCCATACAGTAAAACTCATAGCTTTTCAACTGAGCTGCAGAGGACAAAAGCTAAGAGAGGAAATAAAATGAAAATATGAACAGGAGATTAAAAGAAATAGGTGCTTCAAAAAAAAAGGTTTCCTTTCTTGGAACTAGTGTTCTCAGTGTTAATGCAATTTGGAAGATATTATTATTATGGTTTTGTTACTCTTCTATTTTATTGTTATTGTTAATTTTATCATTGACTTGTAAGCTGCTTAGAGTGGATCAGATTGGATAGAAGTTATCATATGAATGAATGAATGAATGAATGAATGAATGAATGAATGAATGAATTTATTCAGTGAGAAAATGGGAGGGCTTCACTTCCTCCTGTTGATGTCATAGTGCATATTATTAGCTACTCCATTTGCAAACCTTCAGTTGAGATGAAAATGCAAGTGGTATCTTTGCTGCAAAGTGGTCATGAAGAAGGAACTTTCAGAGGTTATGTCTTCTGTGTGGAATATGGGTAAAAAATCAGGTTTTTCTGTGGCTGAATTTATCCTAGAATTCAGGTAGTTGCTATAAGACAGAAAGGGGCAAGTTTTAGGTTATGACTAGGCAATACTGTATAGATGCATGTAAACAAAATGTACATTTCTGCTATCCATGAATTGGATGGTGGGGGAAGTGTAGGAATTAGATGATGACTTTCCTGGTCTT